TTAGCCTAGAAGAGGTTAGATAGAAATGGGCCAAGCGGTGTTTAAAAGAATACAGTGTCCGTGTAATTATTTTGGGGCATAAGCTAGCCGGGCAGGCGGCTGGGGTGTTGGGGACGCAGCCCCGCCGCTGCCCTTATTACTTCAAAAACAGGTATATGGCTATTAATTCTCTGATTAACCTAATATTCCAGTAGGATAATACAATGCCTAGTAACAACTGTCACCTTGATAGAATCTAGACTGCCCCGGGAGACAGACCTCTGGGCATACGTGTGGGATTATCTTGATGGAATTCACTGAAATGGGAATATGCAGCCACTGTTGGTGGCATCATTCCTGGCTGAGATCCTGGAATGTGTACATGGAGAGGACCACACAGCAGCACCCACTCTCTGCCCCTTGACTGTAGACACAATGTAGTTGGAAAAGCTGTTTCAGGCTCTTGCTGCCTGGACTGTCCTGGCCCTGATTTACCCTACCCTTCAACTGTAGCATAATAAGTCCTTTTTTGTACTCTATCATAGCCACAGAAAAAGAGCTGGAGGTAGAAATAATGTTATAAAACTAGTCTGAGGTTCTTTTTTGGAGTAGGACTACTGACCCTGGCTTACATAGAAAGAGCATAACACAATAGAACAGACATAAAAGAATAATCACATGCTTTGGGAGATGGCAGGCTTGGGTCCAGTCTTCTTTGTTATAGATCTCTGAAGTAGATGATTTGACAGAAGTGAATGGGTTCCTACGATCCCCAGTTATTTGTTCTGTAAAATGTATATAAGAAGACCTACTCTGTGCATGTGTTGCTTTGAAGAGCAAGCGAACCATCCTGGTGAAATGCTATGCAGACTGCCCTGAAGGTGGCCAGGATCTGGTGACTAATTATCCTTTATAGACAATCAGATACAGTGGATCTTCACTTCAGAGGATTAAATTCATGACGAATTTTAGCACAAGTTTCATGGTACAGACTTTTCTGAATTTTGTTAATGTCATTATCAACCATGACACCACCCTGAAGAAACAGGGTAAGAAGTAGTCCTTACTTATGGAATCTTTGTTAGTGACAGTTTCCTGAAAACTCAGTTAGTCTCAGCTGTATTGGTTAAAAGTCTTGGAATGTTAGGTAGATGGATCCACTCGTCTTGACCAGGTAATTGATGCAATTCACAGACTAAGTGCATGGAATATACTCACCCTTTCCCTTGGTTATGGACCCTTCATGATTACTAAAAGGACATTTTAAGTTATAGAAAGAACAGAAAAATAAATTCAGAGTCAGAGACATAAAATAAGCATGGGTTTGAAACTCACTAATATTTTCTTTAGCTCATGTCCCTGGAAAAAGAAAAAGCCCCACAAAGCCTGAAGAGTGAACGGGCTCAAAGACCGCTTTATGCAAGTCCAGCCCAGAGTGATTTACTTGAATTTTCCACATGGAAAATCAACTGTAGTTCCTTCTCTTGCCATGGCGTGAGACTGAATTTCTTAAGAAAGACTGTGAATTGACACACAGAAACCAAGCCCTCTGAAAGAACATATGGCTGCCAAATTCAAGACCATCTATCATAGGAATTATAGACAGACTCGGCCATTAAAGGTTAGGTTCGCAACCAAAAACATCTTTAGTAATTTGATATGGAGATATCTACACAGCAAACGGACTCCTTTTCATTCTGCTTTCCCCTGGAAGTTAAGTTTTCATAAGAGGAAAACACAACACACTAGTATTCATCGGAATGTCTGTGGTCAGAAATGGTGGTTAGGCAGGCTCCAGGCAAGAAAATGAAACAAGCTAAAACAAACAGACTTACCTAACTACCGGTGGCTGGAGAGGACACAGACCCAAGAGGAAAACCTTCTACTGCCATTTTCCTAAACCAATGCACTCTCTAACTGTACTCTAAATACTGATCCTGTACTGCCAATAAGTAGACCTTTAAAGACTCTTTGGTTCCCTGGCATAAAACAGAAGGGCCTTCAGGAGGCCACCATTGAATCAGCCCAATAGCCCAATGTCTGCTCACACTAAACTTTTTTTTAACGTCAAAACTAAAGAAAACCTGCTGTCTTAGAGGAGTCAACATTCAAAGCTTTATACTCTAAAAATCTCTCTATAAAGTATTCGGCATTGGTGAGCAAAACCTTCTAAAAAATAAGCCAGGACAAAGGGATTTACAAGGAATTCGGGTATTTCAAGTTTTAAGACAAAGTGGAGAAAAAAAAAAAAAACGTTTAATTAGAAGTCCGAAGATTGTGCCGGGTTGGCTGTGAGGTAAGATACTATCATTTCCTGGGGGAAAAAAATGGAAAACTTACCCGAAAGCACCAGAGTTTGCTCTACTAGAAAGCTGCTGAGACAGACGCTAAGGTTTTAAGAGCTGAGACAGGATTAAGAAGAACTGAACTCTGGGACCGTTCTTTTTCCTGCTATGTCAAAAATAAGTAGATTTCTATATAAAATGCATATATGCAGGTTATATGACTTTTCTAAGACAGAAAAAGCATTGATTTTATTTTAAAATCCTACACCATTTATCCTGTGTATTTTTATGTAAATTCAACATGAAATGCAGATCCTACCATGCTTTGACTGTTTATTTTTTTTATAGGTACCACAGAATAGATCTTTTGCTAATAAACACAACCACCTTGACTCTAATGGACTAATGCAATTACCCCTCCACCTATGCTCCGACTTCACTTACTAGTTCCCATTAGAGCCATCTCTAGACCAGGAATGAATTCTCATCATTGCCACTCAGTAACTTAGAGCTTGGCCTAAGTTCACAGAAACAAACAGTATTTGGATTTTCTTAGCTCTCAAGAAAAGTCAGTGGATTAATTAAAAATGCAGAATTGACTTCAACTTGGTCAAAGTTAAGAATCACTGTGAGTTAAGAGCATAATTGAGAAGCCTGATGATGTCAGCCATGCCGATAATGTGAACAACACGCACGGCAAATCATGTCTTAAAGTCCCTGGGACCGGGCACTTTATTGGCTGTCAACCGTCTAGGAAACGGGAGCACTTCATTTATTCCCACAGATGGAATTTATCAACACCATTGTCATTCTTACTGTTTTCTTCCTAGAGCTGAATTAAATTTCATGGCAAATTCTCTCACAGACGCTTCATGCAAAGGGAAGGAGAGGCGCTGGATTACAGTGAATTCAAATGAAGAGAAGAGGCAGGCCAGGGTAAGAACTGCTGGGAAGAGGTAACTTCCAAGTGGGGCTCTCATCTGCGGCTATTTATAACTAAAGAGCACGAGATTTCTATCTAATAGACCATAATTAGCTGAGAAATAGGCAAGATCTCCTTAGAGAGCTCTCACAGCTCCACAGCCAGCAGGATCTTAACTAGAAATATATTACTCTACCCGGACGAAAGCCATATCATAAAAATATGTTAAAGTGGTGTTACTAGAGGAGCCATTATAAATACATACTGGTAACACCCCAGAGAAAGGCTGTCTAAGCACATGGGAACAAGATGACTTTAGAGTAAGATACATCCTAAGAAGCGCAGGACAGCTTCAAATGTGCTCCAAGGCTCATGGAGACTAAGCACAGTACTCAGATTAGCCTACTCTGAGGGGCAGAGATCAATTCGGAACCGTGAGTCTGTCGTCAACCACCACCAGGATACTCACGCATGCCCACATCCTTACTTATTATTAAAATAGTCAAAAAGTCACAGTTCTAAAGTCTACCCGCTTGTCTCACTCGGTTTATCTGGCTGTTACAGAGTGATCAACTGTTTAAGTCTTATAATCAATAGACATTTATTTTTCATTGATCTGGAGGTTAGGACGTGCGTGACCAGGACACTGGCAGATTGATTCTTTCCGAGGGTGGCTTTATTAGAGACACAGCCCTTTCATTATCTCCTGGAGGAAAGAGTGGGCACACCTTTTGGGCTTCCCTCATAAGGCCACCAATCCCACCCATAGAGGCTCCCTCAGGACTCATCTCTGCCCAGATGAGCTACCTCTGATCCACTGACTTGGGAGTTAGGGTTTCAATATGCAAATCTGAGATCAACACAACCATCCAAGGCCATCATGGGAGTCAGGATTAGTGTTTCTCTTTCAACAAGCAAAACCAATCCCTTTTGATGCTTTCTTCTCAGAGTCCACTCACTGTTACCATTGCTTGGCCATTCTGGAAAGACTGACAGCCCTCAGACAGGATCCAGACACAGTCTTCTGGCTTCCTTATCCAGTTATCTCTCACACCTGATTCTTTACCAAGACCCTTACGTCAGCTTCTCGTCCTTTCTACGAATGATGAATATTGGTTCATATTGCTATCTTCACTCTCATTCTTGGTTGAATACCCTGATGAACACAGCAAAGGATCCCCTAGGCCCAACCATAATTCTCCTGAGTGGACAGGGAGAGGGACAACCATGGAAGCCTAGGGCTGTTTTGACCCATAGCTGCTCTTCCAGATTTTGGGGTATCCTCTTGTCTCCATTCTCAAGCATCTTTGAGTGATGAGCTGCAAGCAAATCCCTGAAACTGGCAACCACGGGCCAGAGCATACCATGCTTTACCCTGCACCATGGATCTGTTGACAAAGACTCGGACACTGGAGAGGGAAGGTTAAAGATAATCACTTAAAGAATACTGACTTCATGAATGTTTGGGTTATAGTGAGAACACCATTTTAAGTATGTTCTCATAAAAACAATCTCATAAATATTACTATTTAACTAAAATAGAATGTGATTTTAGAAAATTCTACTTTTTAACATAATAGTTTGTGAAGGTAAATAGATATTACACACTTCTTTTTAAAATTACTTACCTGTATGTCTTACCAAACACTGTTCATCTTGCTTCCACAATTTTTTCAAGATTTAGTTTAAGAAAATATATCAGTTCACATAATTCTTTTATTATGAAATTTTTTTAGGAGATTTTTTTCCTTTCCAAGATTTTTCGGTGACATTGAGCAAACATTTTGGTTGTTTACCCGCTAGACCCAACTCACCTGTCAAACAGCTCTCCTCCCGTGACGAGCTCAAGGACCAGACTGATTTCCATGGGCGTTTCAAATATTTCCTTAAGTTTTATCTGAGGGAAACACATACATCAAGAAAGAACATCAACAACTGCTCATCCCCATCTTCCTTAAAGATGGCTAAAGTTATGGACAAGGCAATAGCTTGCATCAGCAGTGGGCAGGGTCAGGTCAGTGAAAGTCCCGCATGCTCCCATTAGGAAGACTCTCATGAGGCCATCAGGACCCTCTCTTTCTCAGATGCTGGCTTTGTCAGTTACCTCAGGTTTTTCAAAATTCCCATTCAGTTTTGACTTTTTTTTCATTTTGAAAAAAAAAATCCTTTAAAAACACTCCCAAAATTTACTCAAATGTTGCAGGGTTAATGTTTTTTTGTTGTTGTTGTTGTTTTTTTTTTTTAGACTCAAAAACAAGACCCAACTTTACAAAACTGTTTGGAAACATCATGGATGCTAGAGACAAGCAAGGCTTTCTCCTGGAAACAATGGATTTGAACTTAGGGTGTGGCGAGACAAGCTGGGTCAGGTCTTGGGAAAATACTCTTCAGCAGTTAAAGCCGCTTGTCTGTGATGGGTCGCTGGAAAGAGAGGTGGTAGAGATTCAGATAATCCAACCAAATGTGGACCTTTCTCCAGACATCGGGGGATCTGGAGGCCAGTGCTGACCTACACGTGAAGAATGCTGCACACTGATTTCCTTAGAAAAGAGGAGGCAGAAGAGGCACGGGAAACGTGCAAGTGATGGTTGACTATATCATGCTTGAGAATTGCTCACTCTAAGTCACCCTGGACTTCACTGCACACTGAACTCTAGTGCTGTCCCACACTGTGGACAACAATGGCCTAAGCCACTTGGGACAGCCCTGTTCTCTGATCAGCAAGCCTGCGTGTAGTTGGAGAGCACCTGTAGGAAGCTCTGGCCAGCGACGGTTGACGAAAGCGCCACTGCAGAAGCTTCTGAGAGCCCTCAGCTGACGAGGCCCTTCCAATTTTCCCCTTAAATATCAACCAGGGAACTTATGAAAATGTGGACCTGTCATTACGGGGCTGTAAAGACAAGTGAGAAAGCAATGCACCAGGGCATAGAAAATGGCAAACACAGGGACGTGTGAAGCCTGGGTCCTGGACCATGGCCTACGGTCCACCTTCTTACTCATTAATGCTGTGTAGCGAAGTGTCCCTTTAACTCACATATCAAGTTGTATGCACTTTGCTTTGAGCATTACAGGTCATCAGCCCAGACATAACTTTCTCATACAAATAGGCTTAAAAAAATAGGTAGATGGCTTCATTTTGCAAAATCAAGTTGCTGCTACGAAGATGATTTTGTTCTTTTTCACTCCGTTGATCCGGAAAGCTTTGCACTGGGCATTTTTCTCAGTGTCGTCTGAACACAGAGCACAGCAGAGTGTCTGGGAACCACTCAGTCCTCCTATTCAGTCACATCATCTATTTGCATCTTTGCATTATTTCTGAAGCAGATACTCTTTCAAAGGCGGAAATGACTTTGGAAAGCAATGCCTTCTCCTTCTTGGGCTTTATCGGCCGTGGCACATTAAAGAGATAAGCAAACAAAAGAGGGAGAAAGCCAGTGCTTCACCAGAGCAAAATAAAACTCTCCAATTTTTCTCCTTTCATGCGTGAAAGGAGGCGTGCTATGCATTGTTAGTCCATCTAGTCCAAAACTGATTGTGTGTGTGAGGTACAGCCATGAGCTAGGCCGTACTGTCTGACAGAGGAAGAACCCCTCTTCCCCATAACAACGATCCCATTCTACAGCCTTAGACATGATTTTTGAATTGTAAGCTAGGAGCCACTTACGATGTTCGGGTGTGACAGGCGCAGCAGAACTCCTATCTCAGTTCTGACAATCTTTTTGTCCACCTAGAAGGCATTAAGAGAGAAGTCGTGAACTGAAAAGGACTCCAACTTACAAAAACTCTGACTGTGCCAGAGGTGAGACACATCGGTAGCCAGCCCAGCAGATAAAATGATCGGAGAGGTGTGCTGTCTCTCTGTCTCTGTCTTTCTCATCTCTGTGTCTCTGTCTGTCTGTCTCTCCCTCCAGTGGATCCAGAGACAGAGCACCCAGTCTACAATACATTTTCCATGTTATCTACCCCATTTCCTATCAAACATCATAACCACCACTACCACCGGCACAAGCCGGTCTCAGCTTGTCCCTGCACTTCTTACTTTCATTGCCAGAGGTCTCACTCAGTCAGCCTCACAGAACTGCCAATCGCCTCGCCCGCCTGCTTCACACCCAGCGGCCACACAATTCAACCTCACCCACAGGTACTGTTCTGAGGAAGGATGACCACATCAAGGGTTTCTGGCAGAACCAAGTCATCCCACGGTGTCCTCTCCAGAAATTGTGTGCAAATAATCGATACAATTCCCTTCCTATTTTGAATTATGAGAGCAAAATAGAGCAGACATCACTACTCCCAATGCCTAGTTTTTATACTGTATGTCAACATAGGGAAAAATTACTGAGATGAAAAGAACTACCAATATCACCTAGTTCCTATATTGCTATATAGGTTCATTTATTCTTTGAGCTTTAATTCTATGAGCCACTAAATTTTCTTTCTTCTTGTCATCCAGAGTCAGTTTCTATTGGTGATGACTAAGAGACCCTAGTACAACGATTCTCAACCTATGGGTTGTGACCCCTTTGAGGATCACATTTCAAACATCCTGTATATCAGATATTACATTACAGTTCATAACCATAGCAAAATTACAGTTATGAAGTGGCAATGAAAATAATTGTTTGGTTGTTAGGGGGTCACCACAACATGGGAACTATATTAAAGGGCTGCAGCATTAGGAGAAGGTTGAGAAACACTGCATAGTTACAACACGTGACATATTGGGGACAATGTCCACTGAATTTCTCATCTGCAAAATGCAAGATGCTCCCCAACTAAGGTTCAGGAAATGAGAGTTTAGATGATCTAAAAGTCATGTGCAAACAGAAAACTTTAAGTGTAGTCTGTGGTGCACATTTATAAACCCAGCCCTGGGGAGGCAGAGACAAATGGATCATTGGGGCTCTAGGCCAGTCAGCCGAGCCTCAGTGGTAGGTTCAGGCCTGCCAAAGACTCTTTAAAAAGATGGGTGGCAGTGGAACCAGGACACCTTACATTGTCTTCTCGCCTCTACTCTCTCTCTCTCTCTCTCACACACACACACATACACACACACACACACACACACACACACACGTGCACATGCACCTCCACACACATGTGCACCCCCACAAGTCAATTTTGTTATTTGTGAAATCAATTAAAACACTCAGAGTATTTTTACATATCATGCCAAAGAAATTTAAGCTGTTATCTAGCTACTACTGTGTTTTCTGTGCTATAATACTCTGACCAAAAGCCACTGAGGAAATCAATGTACCATTCACTGATCATGTGTTCATGCTAGCGTTCCTGTCATTTGAGACGTCTCAAGATCCAGGAGAGTACGCATCTTTACATGTGAGTGTGAAGAAATCTATGCTCCACTCACAGGCAAACTGTGAGCAAAGCTAAGACACTGCTTCCAATACAGAAAGGCTTCTACTCTCTAAGTCACTGTTCGGAGGAAGAAAAGGTGGGCTTGAGGAGAAATCCAACTCCATGTCAGTATAGTTAACACATTATGACTCAAGACAAAGAATGATGTTTATCTGATCAATATTTTTCCTCAATGAAAATATTAAACAACAATGTTAAATTCTTTGAAAATAAAGAATATTCAAAGAATTTCACAAATTTTATATGCTATTTTCTTTGGCTGCAACATATAATATGTATACAATATATCATATTTATAATTTTTCCTGTCAAAAATAGTTTGCCAAACTCTATAGCTTTTTGATTAAAGAGATGAATCACTATGTATAAATACCTTCAATTTTTGTGATAAAGAAAAATGTTTATAGGAAATTGTAAAGAACTCATCTATAACTAGAGATCGTCATGGCAAGTGAGACAAGCCAACTTCATTAGAAAACATATTTTTTCTCTCAGCTACAGAATCCAGACACAGAAAGAGAGAGAGAGAGAGAGAGAGAGAGAGAGAGAGAGAGAGAGAGAAGGGAGGGAGGGAGGGAAGGAAGGAGGGAAGGAGGGAGGGAAGGAGGCTACAGGATCAAATAATGTGAAAGCAGAAGGGGGACTATATTTGAGACAAATAAAGAGACGGAGGTTCAAGGGAGCAAGAGCAGAGAAAGGACAAGAAGAACAAAGCTGAAACTCAATGCTATTCATAACAAAACCCCACAATTTTCACACCAGTAAAAAATTAAAAACATTCTCAGCCCAGTAAAAAATTCACCCATCACATATAATAAAATACCAACAATTACAGAGTTAAGGTAAAGCTTCATAACCACAGAAATTGTTATTTGTGAAATCAATTAGAACACTCAGAGTAGTTTTACATATCCATGCCAAAGAAATTTAAGCTGTTATCTAGCTACTACTGTGTTTTCTGTGCTATAATACTCTGACCAAAAGCAACTTAGGAAAAACATGGCTAAGTTATACTTCCAGGTGACAATCTATCACTAAAAAAGGTCATGGTATGAACTAAACCAAAAACAGAAGAAGAAACCATAGAAGGACTCTGGCTCATTCACTGGCTTACCGTCACCTAGCTCACTTCTACGACCCAAATTAACTGTCTGGGAAAGGTGTTGCCCAAATTGGACTGAGCCTTCCCACACCAACCATCAGTCAAGATAATCTCTTACAGACTTAGTTACAGGCCAATCTTTTTTTTTTTTTTTTTTTTTTGAGACAGGGTTTCTCTGTAGCTTTGAAGACTGTTCTGGAACTTGTTCTTATAGACCAGGCTGGCCTCGAACTCACAGAGAAACAGGCCAATCTTATCGAGGCAGTTCTTCAGTTGAAGTTCTTTCTGCTTTGGTGACTTGAATTTGTGTCTAGCTGACAACAAGAACTAACCAGGACAACCATTAATAGCTACAAAACAAAATGTGTTCTATTTACACTGGATGAATGGCAGCTGGCAACTCAGAAAACTTATTAATGTTATGTATGACTATCCCACACAAAAATGAAGTGTCAGTTATAAATTCTGTCTAGAGAGGGACAGGGATGATACGATCTGTCAATCTTCATAACTGCCAGCTAATACAGGCAATAACATTGGAGGGCAGATTCAGTGGAAGCAGAGACAAACAAGCTGGCAAGAAACTGACTTCAGCAAATGGGTGTCACATTGACAGGCTCTAGGGCTTTCTCTGTGAAAGACAAAGAAGAGACACATTTTAATGCATCCATCTAGTGTTCCGCTACTCAAAACATTTGGAGACTGCCCTACCAGTCTCCCCCCGAGACTGAATTAGAGCTGCTTTTTCCAATTTTGACAGAGTATGTGTTAAACAAAACTCTTCCGAGTGCAGGTAACCAATACCAGCTCAAGCTTATCTGTGCTCTAGCGGAAAATGTTGGCACATGGAAACTCAGATCTGTCTGCAGATAGCCAAATACAGAAGCTCAGACTCAAACATCTCTATGCTAATCTCAGACAATTTTCTCGTTGTTTTGTTTGCATTCAATGCATAAATCTATATGTAAGAGACATGTGACTCTAACAGGACCAAGCATGGGTAAGGCGCCATCTCCTCTGATCAACTTTGAGAGAACTGGAATGTCTGGCTGGGGCAGGACCTGAATCTCCTGAAAACTGGATGTTGCCAGATACTGAAGCCTCCATTAATGATTGTTTTGTTATTTGTTTCCTCTTTTATTTGCCTGTCTAAAATACTGAAATGTTGCTTTCTTTGCTTTTTCCTATGTCCCAGACTAATTAATAAATCATCAAATATTATTAATTTATAACAATTCTTGCAAGAGTAGGTTTAATGTTCATATTATGATTGTTTAACAATAACTCATAGATGCTACAAAGTAGTAACTTATACTGCTTTTCCATAAAGCTCTTGTAAACCCATACTGAAAACCGAGGGGTGGCAATTGCTTCCCTGGTGAATTAGTCTGACAGACTCGTGTGTACTGGGAACTCTGCTTTCTTACTCTCTGCCTACAGTGTGTCATTTTGTCCAGGATTTTGATGATACTAATGACACTCATTGAAGGGAGGAAAGCAATGTAGGACCAAGAGTACTAGCAAACAAGACAGGTAGGAGTTGAAGTTTGCATAAATCCATCTTTAAAATACTGTGTTGGGAGGGAAGAAAAGCCACAGCTTATATTATATTCTCAAAACTTCTGAAATAGAAAAAAAGTGTATAATCTATATTTAAAAAAAAAAGCTCTCCATAGAACCAGAGAGTCAAAGGTCTCTTGATTTATATGGAATGAATATCTATCATCTAGGTTTTATATGTTGGGCTCCATATTAAACACTGGAGGAGCCTACAAAAAGCAAGCAAAATAAGGTCTCTTCAGAGGAAGCTAGTGATCTAATTTGGGGACAAATTTATCTATATAATGTCAAGAGAAGACAACGAATGATGTGTTTTGTTTTAAAGTCTCCATTGGGGACTAGAGAGATGGCTTGCTTTCTGTTAAGAGTCCTCGCAGGGAAACCAGTTCAATTCTCAGCATCCATATGGAGACACAGCTGTCTGTAACTCCAGCTGCAGGGCATCTAATTCCACCGTGAGACCACCATGGGCTCCGAGCATCTAGGTACACATGCATACAGATATGCAAAAAAAACAAATTAGAACCCAAACCTCCATTGTTCAATGCAAGATAACCTCCATGGTTGAAATAATGCTACTATTTAAATGCTAGCTTATTGTAAAAAAAAAAAAAAAAGGTTTTTTTTTTTTTTTTACATTATTTGACATTTAAAAAACACCTCACTGTTAACAAACGAAGAACAAT